AAATACATTGGCATGGTGGGCCACCGCGGGGAATCCGTGACCCATGTCATTACATGTATAAATCAGTGAGGGTTCACATCCCGAGACTGACCCATTTATTATGGCCGCTTTTTGTATTTCCTGTCTTTGTGTGTGTCGAGCGCCACGGATGGACGGACGGACGGATGAACGGACGGATGGACAGACGAACGGATGGACGCATGCTCCAACCGTTCTTTTTGCGTGACGCACTAATCGCGCCCCGCAGTACATCAGAAACCCGATCCTTGCAGGTGGACTAACGAAGAGATTATTGCCCCCCCCCCCCACTCTTTTGGTCGCTTCCCAACAAAGTGGGGGGATTGGGTCTCCTCTCTCGCCGGCCTCTTTTCATCGCGCCTCCAGTCGTAATGTGCATCAGCTGCCGGCATACGATTGTGGCCGCGATCTCTCATGCCACCGAGCCATGCGGTCGCGTGGCATCTCGGCACGACTACAGATGAAGCGTTCGGCGCGATGCCACATGGCGCGATAGGGGGTCCCCCCGTGGTTCCCATTAGTCGTTAACGTGATGTGCCTGTACGCGGAGAAGAAAGGGATCCGGATCGCGCGGAACGCGTGGAGATGTTTTTGGTGCCCATCAGCGCTTTTTCCCCGTCCGCGCGATGGACAACCACCACGTCCTCGGTGGCCGAGATCCCACGCTTTTGATAGTGGCGAGGCCATCGTTAAGTTTGGAATGAAACATGAAACATTGTGTCCTCTGTTCGACGTAGACAAGGAGATCTATGTCGTGGATAACATATATATACAAACAAGCTGGCAAATGCACTTTTGTGCATTTTATATTTTTAATTGTTGTGTTGGGGCAGCATTGATGCGAAATCTCTCTATTGGCAGTTTGAAAGCAGATTAAATCGAATTCCGGTTGGCCAAATCGCTATTAAAATGCTTTAACGTGTATTTTGTTCAGCCAGGTGTGAACTCCAGCAACAAGAATGCCTTATTAGCAAAAGTGACCCGAGCGAGTGTAGTGAGATGATGGTTTCAGTTTGGTCACCGATGATTGGACAAAAAAGCCACGACATTCATGCTGGTTGTCCACTTGAATTAGCGAAATTTCCAGCTTTGAAAAATCTAAAACGTTGGTTTGACTGCCAAGTGACGAAACGGCGGTTAGTCCTGCCCACTACTATGTGGATCTCGGAGGTAGCTCTGCGATATCCCCTTGTGTGGACCATTCCCGAAGACAAAGGAGTTGTGACCTCTCAGGAGAAGCTTAAATGGGTTTGTCGTGTCTTGACACGACGCCGAAAGCAATCAGGATAAAGGTCGGGCAAAGAGGTTTAATAAATTAAAAGGCAACATTTCCTTTATGGATTTCCACCGTGGGCATGGTGGAGTGACAAAGGTAGCTCTCAGGTAATCGACTAATGTTCATTTACATCAAACCCAATGCATTTCAACATTTGATGTTAGGACGTCAAATAAAGACCTTCGGAAGTTCAAACGTTCATTTGCCCGAGCTGTAACACCTCCTTCGCAGGGTCAAAAAGAAGTAAAAAACGGTGGAAATATCCAAGATGGTGTCAGGCGTTCGTTGCCCTCGAGTTGACAAACAGACCTGAGGATGCACACTCTTTACTATTTGGCATGGGCTCCCATGCTTCATTGTTGCGGCGTGTCCAGGAAGTGGGGTTGACTTGGAGGTGTTACAGGAGTTTGTGCTGCCTCGCCTCTCGAGATGCTGCCGATAACCCCCAATGAATTCCTTTTATATCGCTCATAGGTAAAGAATAGCGATGTCGGCACGCATCTCCATTGGAACCATGTTATAATGCCCTTCTACAGCGTTGTTTTCTACAGCGCTCCATTGACCAATAACGCATCCTGAGCACTATAAGAGGCATGAATGCACTTAAATTAGCTTTTTTGTGTGCATTTGTCATTACAGTGACCCAGCTCACTCGTGCAAATGAGACTCCCATCGTGGCCTCTTGAGTTCTCACCATCGGGTTCAACAAAATAAACTTGAATCTCACCCCATCACCTCCCGCCCCTCATTCCCCCGGGCCCTCCGCACGTCCGCGTCAGCTCTGGCGAAGGATGTCACACCCATCGCTGAGAAGACACACAAGTCTTCTTCATCATCATCATCATCATCATCTTCTTCATCTTATTCTTTCGCACAGCTGATGCGCAGATGCAGAGCTGCAATTACAATTTCACATTGAGGTGGCCAAGCCAGATAACCGCTTCAGGAGCATGCGGAGTTTATTGTAGTGACGTCTCCTTCGTATTTGTGAATCGGGGCAAGTGCCAGGTGCGATCGCCTAATGAAGACTGGCACAGGGAGTGGGCAGTCATCACCACGCCCGGTCGCCGTTGTCTCCCTCGTGACGATGTTTACACAACGCACAAAGTACGCTATTTGAGGCTGAGTCGATCTCGGGAAGGCCCAATACCAGCGCAGAAAATCGTCACTGGCGTTGGCCATGAGCGAGTATTGAACTTGGGTCGCCAGGTCCAGAGCCCTCCAAGGGAAGGCACGAGTACACCTATGCACGCATGTATCTCTGCATTATGTAAAGCCCCTTGGCTGCGCCATCATCCAAAGATATTTTTTTTGCTATCGGATAGGAACTGAAAAACATCGCACGTCCACTGCAACCACTGCCACGGCTCCCGCTGGCAGTAAAGTTACACTGCTGCCATTCCAAACCCATAGTCAGAGATTCACTCCAAACGAGAGACCCGTCCGCTCCACAGTGTCTCTTTCATTCGCTTCCAAGCCGACACAGAGGCCCAAAACTCACTCAAGGATATCTTGCACATTTTACTACGATAAAAAATATATATAATTTGTTTTATTTTAAAACATGCTTTTATGAAATGTACTAAAAAGTTTAAAATCAATATTTTCTCTTCTTGGTTCTTTCGGTAAAGTCACGTAGAGTTGAAAAAAAATACAACAATAAAAAAAAATTCTCACGACGTTTCGGCCACAACACAAGTAGCCTTCCTCAGGTAAAGAGACAGAACTGTCGGGAAGACAGCGCTTCAGTTAACACAGCCAAGCTCAGACCGCAACCTTTAAGCTGTGTGAGAGGAAGCAGAGCGCCTTGACAAAGGAATTAGCATACAAATTAGCATTTAATTGGCGGACTCAGCATGATGAACGATGTAGAGGGGGGGAGCATGTGCAGACCGGCGAGGGGGGGGAGGGGAGTTTACATATTGATGGTGTGAAAAGGGAATTTAAGCAGCTGCGAAAGTTTGGGATACCACTACTTGAAAAATGTACTGTACCATTGAAAATTAGTTTAATGTTTGGTTTGATTCAGAACATCTTTCCAATGGTTGCTTAATTTGAAACCATCCTCTCGGTTGAAATTGTGTCTGTGTTTGTAAATCTGAATTGCCTCGTGAACAAATCTCTGATAAAAACCCGTGGGTTTGCAAAGAACCTTGGTATCGGAGAAAAGTATATCGTGATCACCCACAGCGATGTAACAGTGATCAGCTACGGCAGAAGAATTTGTTCTGCCGTGTTTCAAACCTGATTTGTGCTTGCGAATTCGGTCAGAGACATGTCGTTTCGTCTCCCCGATATAGCAGTCACCACAGGTGCAGATCAATTTGTAAACTCCGGGGTACTATAAGTCAGGAATGACATCCTTCACGGAAGGGATCAGGTCACGGCTTTGTGTACTGTATTGAACCGGACCAGGATCTTGTGTTTGTTTAGAATTTTGGAGATCTTTTTAGTAACGCCTGCTATATATGGTAGTGTGATGGTTTTGATCGGAGTATCAAGTGGTTGTTTCTGTATGGAGGGAGAAACAGCTTGGCGGATGGTACGGTCAGAGTATCCATTACTTTTTAGGGCCAGATGTACATGTTTTAATTCACTGGTAAGATGGTGTTGGTCCGAAATGCAATGAGCCCTGTGGTATAACATTTTGATGAGAGAATTCTTTTGCGTCGGGTGGTGGTGGGAATCAGGTTTCAAGTAGGAATCTGTGTGGGTGGGTTTCCTGTAGACAGAATGTCCCAATGAGCCATCAGGTCTCCTCTCAAACAGAACATCCACTTCCATGGTGAATTTGATGGCGGGGTGTCTGGAATTAATGTGGTCTAGGAAAAGGTTCAAAGCCGGGAGGCCATGTGGCCAAATGACGAAAGTGTCGTCTACATATCTCTTCCACAGGGAAGGTCTGAGGGTGGAAGTCTGGATGGCGTCTGATTCAAATTTCTCCATGAAAATAATGGCTATCACTGGTGACAAGGGGGATCCCATGGGGGTACCCTCATTTTGTTTGTAGAAGGAGCCATTCCAAGTAAAGTAGGTATTGTTGAGGCAGTGCCTAACCAGTGCAGGTGTATCGGGGTCTAGTCCGTGTTGGACCAAATTTTCAATTATTTCAATGGCATCAGGTACTGGGACCTTGGTGAACAAAGAGACCACATCGAAGCTGACAAGGATATCGTCAGGGGACAGTACAACGTCTTTGACCATAGAGACCAATTGGTTAACTTAACTCAGATTTGTTCACGAGGCAATTCAGATTTACAAACACAGACACAATTTAAACCGAGAGGATGGTTTCAAATTAAGCAACCATTGGAAAGATGTTCTGAATCAAACCAAACATTAAACTAATTTTCAATGGTACAGTATATTTTTTCAAGTAGTGGTATCCCAAACTTTCGCAGCTGCTTAAATTCCCTTTTCACACCATCAATATGTAAACTCCCCACCCCTCCCCCCCTCGCCGGTCTGCACATGCTCCCCCCCTCTACATCGTTCATCATGCTGAGTCCGCCAATTAAATGCTAAATTGTATGCTAATTCCTTTGTCAAGGCGCTCTGCTTCCTCTCACACAGCTTAAAGATCGCGGTCTGAGCTTGGCTGTGTTCACTCCAGCGCTGTCCTCTAGACAGTCTGGTCCCTTCACCTGATGAAGGCCCTTGTGTTCTGGCCGAAACGTCGTGAATTTTTTATTTTTTGTTGTTTTTTTACGTGACTTTACCGAATAGAACCAAAGAGTATGTCGGAACTATGTCGGAAAAAAGTGGCGGTTTCTTTTTTCTTTTCAATGTTAGCACCACTGTGGTTAGCACCATGGAAAGCGACGAGCTTTGTTCAGACGGACGAGTCCATCTATGCTCGGAACGGAGGATCTAAACCACATTGTATAATATCGTATGCACAGCCCAATGTAAGCTCTAACATTATGCATTATATTGATGTCTCCAACGACGTGTGTACTGTGGTGGTGTAGGCGAACAGGGCGTAGGGCAGGTGTTCGTCCTAGTCCTGCTGATTTGCGGCCACCATGCGTTTGAGCTTCCCGGCTAGAGTCTGGTTCATACGCTCCACCATCCCGATCGCCTGGGGGTGGTACGCCGTAGTTCGAACTTGCGGCACAGCGCCTGGAATAGCTCTGCCTCGAACTCACTACCCTGGTCAGTAATGACTCGTTCGGGGATCCCGTGCTTAAGTACGTAGTGCTCCACGAACGCTCGGGCTACCACGAGGGCCGTCTTATCGGGGATAGCCACTGCTACGGGATAGCGTGTGAAGTACTCTACCGCTATGAGAATATATCGGTTGCCCTGGTGGGATCGCGGGAATGGCCCTTGCAGGTCGATCCCAACCAGCTGGTTCATTCGACTGATGCGGAACGGTCTCAGGGGTACCTGATATTGCGCCGGTTTCGGCCCACATTGCTGACACGCGCGGCAGTCCTGCACCCAGGCGGCCACGTCTTGTGCCAATTTGGGCCAGAGATACTGGCGACGCAGGGTCTCCCGAGTGCGTCGTTCCCCGTCATGGCCCCCGAGCGGGTTGTCGTGCACCAGCCTCAGCAGCTGGGGTCACACCTGGGCGGGAACACAGATGCACTCTGGTTGGCCGGCTTCGGTTAGTTCTCATACCACCCCGTTTTTGGCCGATCCTCCTCCACCATCTCCACCTGCCAGTACCCAGACACCAGATCGAGGGTGGAAAAATACCGCGCTCCTGCGAGACTGTCAAAGGTGTCATTGATGCGTGGGATGGGGAAGGCGTCGCCGAGGCTGACTGCGTTCAACTTTCGGTAATCAACACAGAATCGGGTCGACCCATCCTTTTTCGTCACTAGTACCACCGGGGCAGACCAGGGGCTCGCTGAGGGCTGGATTATGTTATCGCGGAGCATATCCACGACTGCCTCTATAATCTGGCCCCGTTCAGGTGCACCCACTCGGTATGCGGGGATTTTAATGGGTCGGGCGGCACCGGTGTCAATTTGGTGCTTCACAAGGTCTGTCCATTCCACGTCCGAGTCGTGTTCACTGAACACGTCGGCGTACTCCCGCAGTAACCCACGCAGCTGATCGGCCTCCCTCTCAGGTAACTCTGCCCAGGGTACGTGTAACGCGTCAAGCAGGGGGACGGCCTCGGCTCGGGGAGTCGGGCCGACTCGCCAGGCCAGGTCCTGGTTGTCCTCGGGGCGACCGGGTCCTCAGCCCAGAGTGCAAATACCAAGTCGTTAGAATGGCGCGCGTGCAGGGGGTGTATGGTGGCTACCGGGGTGCATCGTCGTAGCATTACTGGGGTACTATGTGGGTTAAATACCCGCATAAACAGTCGGCCCCCGTCTGCGTTGACCAGCGTGGCTGAACCCACAACCCTGTACCGCGCCGCCAACTCCGGGTGAGGAGTTAGCATTACCTCGCCCGATGGTCGGTGTGTGGGGTCGGTGGAGGATGTTGCCACTGGCACCAGCATTTCGGCGAGCGGGCCGATGGTGACGGCCGACACCAGGGTAGCGGCCACGGGTGTGAAGTGAGGGTGATTCGGCTCTTGTCCCTGGAACGGAATCCGCTCCACGCTGCCTTCCACCGTGGCGCATCGCTGTCGGGGCTGCACGTTGAGCCCGTTTCTCCAGGAGGTCTGTACCTGCGATACACTCATGGCACAACACACTCGAGACATAGAATTCCTGGTTGCACACCTGGTGTCCGAGACGGACCTCGAGGGAGATCCTTCCCAGCAACCCCATCCCGGCTCCACTCGCCGTGTGCAGCGCGCGATCCGGGGCCTGCAGGCGGCCCACGTCAACCCCGAGCACGCTACAGTGCGTGGCGCTCACGAGTGAGGCTACGGCCCCCGTGTCCAGTAGGATCCGGGTGCGCTGCCCCTTCACCTGCCCTTCTACCAGCGACGTGGCCCCCGTGATTCCCGCCATCAGCTCTCGTAGCCCATCCTCACTGCGTCCTTGGGTGTTGTTGCCGGAATCTGTGTGGAGGTCACTCGCTCGCCATTATCATTACAGTTTATTTGTGTTGGGACCACGTCGACTGTCCCCCTCGGTGGTCCCCTCTCTGGGGAAGCCTTGGTGTTTAACCCTGGCGCATGTCTAGTGCGGGCGACCTGAGAACAGTCCCTCATGAGGTGCCCTCGGCGGTCGCACAGGTCACATGCCCGGGGGGCGGCCCCTTAAGGGCCCCCCTGTCCGCTCCCTCTCCCCCTTCCAGTACGCAGCTGTCCGAGGTCGGACTCCAACTGGGACACCCGTCCGGCTAGCCCCCCTACTGTGGAGCGTAGCTCGCCCATCTCGGACTGGATGGTCTTCACATTTTTGTGCGCTTCCTCGCGTATGTGGGTTACCTGGCCGGCTATAACCCCCATGCCGGTTTGTAGCCCTGCTACCCATCCTGGGGTTGTCTCGCGGGGCCCTGGAGGCTCCCTTGCCCGACCCCTTCCTGTACTGGAGCGCCCCTCTTCCTCCTCCTCCTCTGGGAGCAAGCTCGCGATGGCGCTCTCGTCCCAGCCCTCGAAGCTGCGCGCGCTCACTAGCAAGTCTTTCGCATTTACGCGCGCGCTCCACCAGTGTATTAAAGGGGAGACGTGTACCGCTTAAATCGGGGTGCCACCACATGGTGCGAACCAAGTATCGCTGGATCTTTTCGGCGGCGAGGTCCTCAATTGCCTCTGTCGTGTACCCCAGGCGTGCGATCTGTGTTAGTGAGCGCACGTCCTCGGCGTAGTCACGCAAGTCTTCGCCGGGTTGGCGCCGGCGTGCCTCTAAGGCCGCCTTTGCCTCCTCCTCATTTCTCGTGCCGAAACGCAGGTCAAGTTGGTGCATTAATTCTGCTAGCTGGGTTTGTGTGCCCGCGGGTAGAGCTTCTGCGTAGTCAGCCGCCCGTCCATCTAAGTGTATTGTAAGTTGCTCTAACGCCTGCGCGTCTGTCCAACCATTAATTTTTTTAGCCCTTGTGACGTTGCGGGCAAATGTTTTCCATGAAGGAATCCCCTGGCCGGTGAATACATGCCTTATTTTTGCGTGGGGTAACGCGCTGAGGGTTCGTGCCGCTTCTGACGCCAAATTGTTAGGGCTGCTGCCCCTCGACTCCCCGTTCTCCTGTGCCCCCCCACTCTCCTCTTCTCCCCCCCTCGCTACTGCTCCTCGTGGCATGATTTAAGTAGCTGCGCTAACCACCTCGCGAATACACTGTGGTGCCCTTCTCATACACGCCAACCACGAGCTGCGCAGCGGCGAGAGTGCCCACGCGTACAGAATACACGTGACACCACAACGCACGGGCTCACAAGTTAACGTGCACGGCGAACGCGCATGCGCGGGCAAAATATACGCTCGTGCGCAAACACAAGACACCACACAACGCACAGGCTCACCACACCATGCACCCCCCCCCCCATTTCCTCCGTACTCACAGAGACAACACGACGCGGTTTAATGTCTACTGGTGGTTTATTGTTTAATTGGAGTGAATCTACCCGTGTCAGTGTGGACCAGCAGGGCAGATCTAACCTATCTCTCTACGGTCTAATACCCAAGTAGCCTATCCTCTCTCTACTCACTCTCTCTATTAGAATTTCCCCCTTTGCCTTACCTCTCATCGTACTTACGGTCCGACCTCGTGGTGTTGGAGGTCGCGGAAAGACGAGGCTGCACGCGGCTTTTGCTGGGAACTGGGTCTGGCTGCTCTGCGACCCGTCTCACGGACGTTCGAGTAGCAGGGGACGATCACCCCTCGGTTCCTCACTCCACAAGACCCCAGGCAAAAGAGAACGAGCTTCTCAATTTCATCTCTTTTTATGCTCCTACTTCAAAGCCCACGCGCCGCCGATCCGCTGGCCTCTCATCCAATCAGGAGCCTCCTCTCCGACGCCCCGCCCCCCATTGTTTAGCTAAGTGCACCTCCGACACCTAAAGGTGCGCCGCATCATGGGAATCAACCTGTGCCGCCCCCCACCTGCCTGCTGGTCCGCGTGTGCCCTTGGCTGTTCCCTCACTGCGGTTCTCAGTGAGTTCGCCGTGGCCGTGCAATTTTAAGTCAATCCACGGTGCCGCAGTGCCATTCGGTCTGGGGGGGGGGGGGGGGGGGTGGGGGGCCTGCCAATTCCCCGGCCTTGAGAAACCGTGGAGCACCCCCACGAGGGGGGCCCTCGGGTGAAAACTCAGGGGCAGGTGACCCTCCCCCCCCCACGGGGCCCTACGTGAGTGCGTGTGTGTGTGTGTTTACGTGGAGGGTGGCGGGGGAAGCGCTGTGACGGCAGCCGGGTGGCTTCTCTGCCGCAGCCCCCCCGTTGCCGGCACGGCTCCCACGGAGCGGCTTCGCTGTCCTGGCACCACATCTGTTGGTGTAGTGAAGATCTTATTATTGTAACGTACAGCTGTTCACGTGTTGATGTTTGTGAATGTGTCTCCACTGACAATCGCAAGTAACTGGTCATATGTTGGTCATGTGCTGTAATGTAAACGCGTAAGTTTTTAAGCCGTTTATGTTTGTGAAGATGTCTGCATTGACAATGGAAAGTGACTGCTCATATGTTCTTAATATGTTGTCATTGAAACGTAAAGTTTTGATGCCGTTTATTTTGTGTAAAATATGTGTGCATTGACAATGGCAAGTAACTGCTCATATGTTGTAAATGTGTTCTAATTGAAACTTATAATTTTTAAGCCGTTTATTGTTGTGAAAATGTCTGCATTGGCAATGGAAAGTAACTGCTCATATGTTGGTAATATGTTCAAATAGGAAAAGTGACTTTTTAAGCCGCTTATTTTCGTGTATATGTCTGCATTGGCAATGGAAAGTAACTGTCCATATATTCTTAATGTTGTAATTCAAACTGAAAGTTTGTATGGCGTTTTTATTTGCAAATATGTATGGATTGACAATAGAAAGTAACTGCTCATATGTTGTGAATATGTCTGCATTGGCAATGGAAGGTAACTGCTCATATGTTTGGTAATATGTTCTAATTGAAATGTCAATTTTTTTTATGGCTTTTATTAATGTGAATGTGTCTGCATTGGCAATGGAAAGTTACTGCCCATATGTAGTTAATATGTTCAAATGTGAAAGTTTAGTTTTTAACCCGTTTATTTTAGTGATTATGTCTGCATTGGCAATGTAAAGTAACTGGTCATATGTTGGTAATATGTTGTAATTCTAACTGTAAGTTTGTACGGCGCTTTGGTTTGCTAATATGTCAGGATTGGCAGTGGAAAGCAACTGGTCATATGTTGTTAATGTTGTAATTTAAATGTTTTGTTTTAAAGCCGTTTATTTGTGTGAATATGTGTGCATTGGCAATGCAAATTAACTGGTCATATGTTGTTAATAGGTTGTAAATGAAACCGTTTATATTTGTTAATGTCTGAATTGGCCATGTAAAGTAACTGCGCATATGTTGTTAATATGTTCTAATTACAAGTTTAAGTTTTTAAGGCGGTTTTTTGTTGTTGTAAATATGCGTGGATTGACAATGGGAAGAAACTGCTCATATGTTGTAATTGTTATCGAAAGTTTCAAAGGCGTTAATATGAGCGCCCCACGCTTGTATTTAGAGTCAGTTACAATAAGAGTATACGAAACGTGTAACGCAAAGTACTTGAACAGAAAATATTAATTTTAAACTTTTTAGTACATTTCATAAAAGCGTGTTTAAAAAAAAAGTTTTAAAAAATATATATTTTATTTAAGTACTTTTTATTGGCATCAAATATTGTTACCAAATTATATTTGATGAATTATGTACAAAAGTTAAAACATTTATAAGTGTTAAAGAAATTTCGATGAAGGCTAATAATTGTTCTATTGATCGGGGTCGTACTTTCTCATTCGTCCCATTTCTTCTAGGGCAGCAGTGTTGTAAGGCTTATTTTCCCGTGAGCAACATGATACCGCACATATATACATTGTATACCAGTATATGTGCAAAAAATGTTATATAATGTTATAAAATTATTGAACGTGAATCATTAAGGACAGTAAATGATAAATGAAAGGCACTATTGAATGTCGAAAAATGTATGATATCAAATAAGTGTGTAGAAATGCTGAAAACAAAAGACTTGCCATTACGGAGCAGAGAGTGGCCAATTACTGGCAACGTGAGTTGTTGAGCATCGACAATTACACCGTAGGCAAAACAGAGCATATATATATAAAACAATGATAACAATTTACTTTAAACCTTTTTGTACATTACCTAAACGAGCAGTAGTAAGTATCGGCACATGGTGAACATTAATGTACTGTCGTTATGAAAGCATGGCACGACTCCAGTCAGAGTGGGCCCCGAAGCGCGCCACGACGTAAGGGGCCGTGGTCATTTACAGACAACGTGGACAATTAGACCCAAGCCGAAAACTGAACATTACAAAAATAATGTTTTATAATGTGTTTTTACATTTTTTTTTTATGTTAGAATATAGTATTGTCATCAGTATGACATAAGCATACCAAGTTTGCAGTCGATGCCACATTTTAAAGTGGGTAATAATTGCGTTACAAGATTTTGAGAATGCAACGGCAACAGAGAGCGAGTTAAATATATAAAATCGCGTGAAGAAAAAAAAGATGACGACGACGACGACAAAGTAACCATCACCCACCTCGCTGCCGTCACTAGCCAAGCGCCCTGCTGCCGAGCAAAAGCGGCGAGACACTCGGCGAGTCTTTTCCTTCCTTGGGGAGTCGTTGCCCGAAACGTTTGGCCACTTAGACACGCGTGGAGGTCGTGGCGTTTACGCTGCGCGCGCGGCACTTGCCGACTCATTAGCCGACATGCAAATGATATGCAAATTAGATGCTAATGATGCTTGCTTTTCATCCTTGTGTTGCGCCCGAAACCTCGTGGTTTAATTTTAGTTGTTTTTTAAAAATATATATATTTTTGGTTTTAAATTCGTTTTTCACCCACGTGACTTTACCGAAAGAATCTAAATCAGTATATGGATCCTTGCAGTCACTAAAACTTCAAATCTAGAATGCTTGCTTTTGTTTGGTTTTGCCGAAGGCGTCAGGGAGCAGAACTTTCCGAACGGGACGGGGCAGGCGAGGAACACGAGTCCGGAGAGAATCATCGATTAGACACTGTGTAACGCTATTTTTGTTCCTGGGTACTAAGTGTGATTTTATTTAAACTGCTTATGCCTCAAAAGTACCAAAAGGTGGCTATTATTATTCCCCACTAACTTTGCTTTCGTGACCAGGACTTTACTGTGAACTAACGACACAAATGCACACCACGTTTGTCATTGAAAATAGCTGCATTTCAAAATATCACTGTCCTAGGTTTGAAGCTTTCGTGACTGCAATAATTCATACTGTTTGGTTTTTATTCGATAAAGTCACGTAGCCAATTTTTGGTACTTTTGAGGCATACACAGTTAAAAAAAATCACACAGTACCCAGGAACAAAAATAGTGTTACATAGTGTCTAATCGATGATTCTCTTGTTCCTCGCCTGCCCCGTCCCGTTTATTTTATTTTAATTTGTTTTTTTTTTACCTACGTGACTTTACCGAATAAAACCAAAGAGTATCACTGTCCTGGTCACAAAAGGAAAGTTTGTGGGTAATAACAGCCGTTTTCTGTACTTTTGAGGCGTAAGCAATTAGGAAATAACACTTACTACCCAGGAACACTTTTTTTAGTTACAGTGTTATTATAACGATCACCTGATGAATTGTGGAATCCCTGAGAGCGTGGGGCGACTGTTACCTCATTGGTTACCACTGTGATAGAGTTCCCATCATCGTTAAAACCATCATCATAGTGTCGTCACCACCACCATCATCATCATTACCACCACCAGCAGCAAATACAAAGATACGGCCCTATAGCCTTTGCAGAATTTTTGGAGTAAGTGCGGTGAGCGAGCATCTATGAAAGCTGACAATGCACACGAGGGTGTGGGTGGCCAGCACCACGACCTTTGTCTCCCCAGTGGCGATGTTTACTACACACTGCACCAGGTACTCATCTGAGGCTGAGTCGACCTAGGGGAAGCCCAGGACCGATTCAGATAATCGTCATTGGTGTTGGCCGTGAGCAGGAATCGAACTCTGGTCGCCGGGCTCGAAGCACAGCACGCTAACCAACAACAACACCACCAACCACCGCCACCATGATCACCATCAAAGACAAAGATGTCCCCTATAGACTGTAGGAGCAATTGCTGTTAGCGAGTAGCGCCTATGAAGGCCGGCACGGCATCACCACCACCATCCACACCACCACGACTGTCGTCAAAAGTAAAAAAAAACAGAAGCACCATCATATAGGAATAGTTTTTACCCTTTTAACTGGCACAAAAACTGACACCTTTATTCAAGGCATCATGTTTGCAATGACCACAATACAAGCAGTCAAAATGCAAACAAAAAAGACAACTCTGATAATAATATGCACTGTCCTTGAATTTGATTGGTCCACACCCGAGACAGCTTTTCTTAGAGCCTAGTCTCCATTGGTGTTGGACCAGAAGACGCCAAAAGGCGTACAACTCAAAAACAGCGCACTATCAGAGTATTGAGGGCTCGGGGTGAGCATTAACATTATGAGGAGGTCTCATAATAATGAGACCTCCTCATAATGTTGGACCAATCAAATTCAAGGACAGTGCATATTATTATCAGAGTTGTCTTTTTTGTTTGCATTTTGACTGCTTGTGTTGTGGTCATTGCAAACATGATGCCTTGAATAAAGGTGTCAGTTTTTGTGCCAGTTAAAAGGGTAAAACCTATTCCTATATCTTGTTTCTGGCAAAGGAGGTCTCATAATGTTAAGAAGCACCATCCTCGTCATTATTGAATATTCGTCATCAGAGACATCATTTTAGGGGTTAGACACAATTGGTAATGGCACTTTTCAGGAAGTCACCCAGCGTCACCCAGCACAGCACCCCCCAGCACAGCACCACCCAACACAACACCACCAAACACAACACCACCAAACACAACACCACCCAGTACAACACCACCCAGCACAACACCACCCAGCACAGCACCACCCAGCACAGCACCACCCAGCACAACACCACCCAGTACAGCACCACCCAGCACA